ATATATATATATAATTTGTGCCTAGTCACAATTTATGACAAAATATTTATGATAAATGAATGATTATTATTATTTGCATTTACATAAATTGTTTAGCCCAGCCTCACTCTAATTATTCAAATCACCTGCTCTGCTTACTGTAATCTAGCCATCTCCTTCTTATACTCTCACTCACTCTCTGTCTCTCTCTCTCTCTATCTGTCTCTCTCGCTCATCTGTTATCTGTTTGCTGTTGAATCTTGAATGTCAAAAAAGCTTGCAGCGCACACGTGAGCGTGTGTAGCTTGCAGTCTCCTTTTCTCTCTCTCTCTCTCTCTCTCTCTCTCTCTCTCTCTCTCTTTCGTTCTCTCCTTTGCTAGCTGCCTCCGCTGTCTGCGTCATGCCCTGCCTATCGCAATAAAAACTTAATTAATATGCGCACAAAACTTTGCTTTTGCGCTTCGTTTGCATTTTTGCAGCTCGCTGTTTTGTTGTTGTTGTTGTTGTTGTTGGGCTGTTGTCTGTGTGTTGTTGCTGTGATATTTGACTTATCATTTGATAAGTTACGACCTACGGCAAGCAATCGCAATGCCTTATGGCAATTAGAAACGGGTTGAAGTGAGGTATATTAGGCATTTGAATGGAATATAAAATTGCCGTATATAAACGTAAAAGTTGTAACAGATCGTTATAGATTAGTCCAGAGCAGGCAAAGTAATCTAGAATGAATATAACTATACTAACTCTGGGAGTCTTCTTCCCTCTCTTTCTATATCTTTTTATGTCTACTTAAATAAAAGTTTTATCTATGTATATATAGGGTATTTTCTAGCCGTGGCTTTATTTATTACTTAATACTCACTGTCTGCCCTTACCGCTCTCTCTCTCTCTCTCTGTCTCTCTTTCACTCCTCCCGCTAATGAGATAGTAATTCCCTTATTCTACTCTCTCTATCTCTCTCTCTCTTTACCTCTCCCTCCCTCTCTCTCTCTCCCTCCCCCACACACATTAATTTCACACTCGTCTCGCATGCAAATTATCATTTCACACTTGCATTTTGCGCTGGAAAATTGTTTGACAAGTTGTGAAATTTACGATTTTTAATAAATCAAGTGGAAATTAGCACAGCTTTTCGCAATGGCTGCTTAACGGCTCCACTATACGCTACATTTGCAGTCCAAGCTGGCCCACAAATGGGGTCAAATGGTGAGCTGTCTCTGCAGCGCATCAGCTGATTAGCGAAGAAGAAGAAGCAGCGGTAGCTGCAATTCAATTGACAAATGGCATCAAATGTTTTCCATCATTCAAACACACACACACACACATATCGCGCGCTTTTCTTTGACCAATGCGCGGTTCCATTTTCCATTTTCCCATTTTGGCAGCGAGGTCAACCTTTGAGCCTCTTCTCTTCTCTTGTTGGCCAAAATCCATTCGCTTTGATTAGATTTTGAACTAAAAAAAAAAAAGCGAAAATTGAAAATGGCCTCAAATGCGCTTTTCCATATGCCAAAGCTGATTAAATGGAAATAAATTATGGAAAATTACGATTATGAAATGTTTATTGAATATGTTTTTTGGCAAGCCAAAGGCCGCACCAAATGTTTGTGAAATACCCTGCAAAAGCTGACTGAAGCGATCCCTTAATATGAAGATTTTACGATATTTGTAACGTCAAAATAGAAGAGTGTTACGAAGCATTTCCAGACAGAAGTGTCTGGACAAATATTTGTAATGAAAATACTAAAGCATTTTTATTATTAGATTAAATTTGTTATTTATTGTATTAATATTAGTTTAAGTGTTGGATAATTAGCGTTAAATTCTACAAAAGCCGAGCAAGAGATGAGTTTCTTCTTCTTCTCAGATAACGACTAGGCTAGCAGCAGATCTATAGATAATATTGACTAGAGTATATTCAGACACAAATTATATAGGTGTCACACCTTTCTCTGTCTCTCTCTCTCTCTCTCTCACTCTCTCTGTCTTTGCTCAGTCAATAACTATAATTGAGTTGCATTTCCCATAAAAATCATTAAGTTTTGTGCATTCCCGCTGCCCACACAGTGCAACGCTTGCACCCTTGCATTTGCATTTGCATTTGCATTTGCGACCCACCCCCAAGCCGTCATCCAACTGTCTATCATCATCATTAATGCATTGCTCAGTCGAATACGATCGAAAACGTAAGCTGAGGAGAAGCTTCAGCCAATACGATATAATACGATACGATATTTATATACGATATATAATATGATACGGTGTTTGGGTTCGGTTTTGGTTTCGATTTCGATTTCAGCTTCAGTTTTTCAGTTTTTTGTTTCGCGCAGCTCGGGTGAAATTTTTTCAAGTTTATTGCAAACAATCGAATTCGTTTTATTTCATTTATGTTTTGTTTGCAGTTGTTGTTGTAGCTTTACTGCTTTAAATACTCTAGAAGCTATAGCTAATGGGGTATATAGATGACATTCCCAGTGATACAGTTTTGGTGTCATTGCCAAGCAAAACGGTTACAGTTTGTGAGTGACTATGCATAGTTACAGTTTGAGAGCCACAAGCGCTGATATACATACAACTGTAGAGTCGACCTGAAGAGTAGAGAGAGTACAGAGCACAGCTTTGGAGCCACTGTTTAACACCTGCAGTTTTACAGTCATAGGCTAGCAGCACATCAGCTTAAGAGCAATAACTCTACATAGTTTAAAAGCCACTGAGAGCATAAGCAGCTTTAAGCTCTTCCTTTCCTTCCACACAGAGCATCATACAGTCGTAGCATTTGGATTCGTTGTTTCAGTGGAAATTACAACAACAAATGACCTTTTCAAGACATTGTTGATGCAGCTACTGCTGCTGTGTGGGCAGAGGCAGCGCTGCAACTGAGACGAATTTCGAATGCGACTGCGATTGCGAAATGAGAAATGCGCCGTGGGAATGGGAGAGGGAGATGGAGGATAACGGGCCGACGAAGGGGAGACTGCCCACTGTCAATGCCAATGCTAGAAAATGGGGAAATGGGCTGGCTGCGGGCGCTGTAAATGGCAATGGGAGCGGCAGGCTTTTATAGTCGCCGTGGGTGGCCTATGAGTGAAATTACCCCTATGTACATTGCATTTAAGCATTCTGTGTTGCTGTCAACTTTTCATATTTATTAATTTGAAACAATTTTTTATTGCTCTCATTGCAGGTAAGCATCAAATTGTGGCATGGCTTTGTGTGTGTTGAATGTAGCGATTGGGTCCCAAACGTGACTGAGGACTGCATTTAGCTTAAGCTCGTTCATCGTTTACCGCATTTTGTAGAGTCGAGTGTTTATTGTCATGGGTAAGCTTGTTATTGTTATCACATTGTTGTATTAAATGGTCGTGTGTGTGGTGTGTGCTGTGTGCCGTGGGCTGTGGGCAGAGGCACACATCGAAAGCGCACTCAAAGCATTTGCAGGCGAAAAAGCTTTTAAGTCACACAAACTAAAAGCAGCGCAGTCGACGCCGGCATCGCGCTGCCTCTCTGCTGTGTGTATCTGTGTGAGTGTAGAAAATGTAAAGCAAGCATCGCTTCCGCATGCAGTCGATGGCGACAGCGCAGCTCATGCGAAGCGTAGCGACAGCTTTTTACGAACTTTGGCGCAGGCTGCGCGAAAGAAAGTAAACAGTGGAATGCGCAAAATACGCTGAAATGTAAAATAGTCAGCGAGAGCGAGCGTGCGCCCCAGCCAGCGAGCGAGCGAAAGACAGAGAGAGAGAGAGAGAGTGAATGTGTGTGTGTGTGTAAGTGTATGTGAATGAGTGAGAGCAGTGGACGTCGCTGTGGCTGAGGCTGTCGCTTATATTTGCTTTCGGTTTCAAGTTTGGCTTCGACGTTGGCTGCGCAGTCGCCGTTAACATTTGGCTTTGGCGCTTGCTGCGTGGGGCAGTTTTTCGTTGTGCTTTTGTTTTGTTGTGTATTTTGGAGCCGATCTGAGCTGCGTTGCAAGAGGCGCACAGCGCGCGCGTTCACTCAACGTTTGCAGTCCGGCG